TTAATTTTTATAGTCTTGATTTCTTGTCTACTTGATGGCTATGATAGCTCCTTCCTGATGCTAAGGAGTGTGTAAAGTGTATGCGAACAAGACAGTTACTGCCTGGTTCTACCTTATTTCATGAAAGCAGTTAGATGGGTTTTCACCTGATGTGGAGGGGATATCTGAATGGTTTGATTAAAATACAGGCCCAGAAGCACATATGACATTTACACTGGGGAGGGGGAGGGGGGGTAAAGGGGCGCCTCAAATGGTTGGGCAGTTACTTTTCAAAATAGCTGAAAGAGAGGGAGATGCTGAGGCCACACACAATTGACATGACCCGATCTGAGGTGTGCGGCTGAGCTGCAGATCTTAGTCAAACTGGGGACAGAGGCTGAAAGGCAGTGTTGACCCAGAGTGAAGCTACCTCTCACGGCAGAATCTCTGTACAGCTGGACTGAGTAGGAATCGTTGTAAGTCGTCGGAATTTACTGATCAGTTATTAGTAGTTCTCTTCCATGACACGGGGTGGGCTTGTGAGAAACCTATAGAGACCGTTTAGTTCAGGACTTAGCACATAAGTAGGTCCCTAGTGAACATCTCAATTCCACCCCATTCTCCATTTCTGCCACCCACCTCCTCCACGTAGAGTATGTAGGGAAGCTTTTATCATGTTCCGTTTTGTACAGATCATACTTAGTCATAGTGACTCAGGCATTTCTATGGAGATAGACTGGTCTGACAACAAAAATAGCCTAATATTGCAGACACACTAGGGTATTTGGGGGGAAGAAGAAATCATTGTTTTAGCAAGGCAGTATCTTTATTCCCACAGATATTAGGATATTGAACTACATTTTGGTTTGCCTGGCTGCCCCTAAAATCTTTTTTTTTTTTTTTTTAATTTTTTTTTTAATGTTTTTATTTATTTCTAGGAGAGAGAGAGACAGCGTGAGCAGGGGAGGGTCAGAGAGAGAGGGAGTCACAGACTGAAACAGGCTCCAGGCTCTGAGCTGGCAGTCAGCACAGAGCCCGACGCGGGGCCCGAACCCACGAACCGCGAGATCATGACCTAAGCGAAAGTCGGACGCTTAACCGACTAAGCCACCCAGGCGCCCCTGGCTGCCCCTAAAATCTTGAAAGTGTTGCGGAAGAACTTGGATTAATAATCAAAGGGTCGGGTGCCTGGGTGGCTCAGTCGGTTGAGCTTCCAACTTCGGCTCAGGTCATGATCTCACGGCTTGTGGGTTCAAGCCCCATGCTGGGCTCTGTGCTGACAGCTCAGAGTCTGGATCCTGCTTCGGAATCTGTGTCTCCTTCTCTCTCTGCCCCTCCCCAACTGACACTCTGTCTCTCTCTCCCTCAAGAATAAATAAACATTAAAAAAAAAGGATTAAAAAATAATAAAAGAGTATACTTCTGGGTTTGAAGCATTATTTTTTAATTTGGGCTCCCCAAAATTGTGATGATGCTTTTTCTATTGGCAGATAATTATAGAATAAATGATATTTTATATTGAAATATTTTCTATGCTGAAGAGATGAACTAGTCTTACTCTCCCCCGTTTAAGTTTCACTTTTGATTTTGATGTGGTACCATAAAAAGTCTACTGATGGAAATGACACTTTGTAAAACCAGCTGTGAACATTTTAAGTACAGTTTGTCTTAGATCTTTCCCTTAAAATAACAGCTTGTTCCCTAAAGTCGATACCTTGAACTTAACTATTAACAGAGAACACTTTCTTGTAATGTGTGTCTGATGTGATGGCAGCTTTTCTTCTGCATTAGTGAAAATATTGCTCGTCCAGACAGGTAGCCAGTGTTTCCAACATCCACAAAGATGTGAAAGGATTTCTTTACCCTTGGAAATCCCAAAGGCACAGGTTAAAAATACAAGTGCCTGTATTTTGCACATGCTTGATCTGCTGATTGTTTCCTACTCTTCCCTGTAAGCACTTTCATAAGCACTCAGGAGGCTGGAGCTTTAAATGTGCCATGGAGAAAACGTTCTGGTCTCCCCCGTTCTTCCCTGGCACACAGGGGCAGTGATTTCTGCCAAACTCAGCAGTACAAGGGCTGTTTCAACTCAACGGCTAATACCCAACCCCCCTTGAGAAATACGGTGGACCCCCAAAGGGCTGAGGAAGGAGATTTACTGATCAGTTGGAATTTACTGATGGAAGGAGGCACCCACCACGTCTGGGGGGAACCCTCTTTGTTGAACAGCTGCGCTCAGGTGTCACGCTGAGCTCTTGTCCTCTCCGTAGCCCGCCGGCCAGGACGTCTGGTGGAAGAGGACTCACATTCTGCGTCTGCAGCCACGGGTCTAAGCCATGTTGTCCTGTCGGGCTCTTAACCAGACGCCTGTCTTGTGGATCAATGGGCACTTCCTTATCTTAATGAAACTGGTATTTTGTTCCCATTTGATGACTGCCCTTCTCTTCATTATCAGGCAGAATCCTGAAGAAGAGGGCGAGCGGTGGGACTTATTTTTTATTTCTCGTTTCAAGGAATACTCAAAGAACTTCTAAAACAATCCCTCGAAGTTGCTTTTCTAATGGTTAAAAAGCCAAGGCTAAATAAGCAAAACCTGTCCATGTTGCATTTGAAGACCAGAGCGGTGCTTTACTTTGAAGTCCCCCAATGTTTTCTATGCGATTGTGAAGACCGTTTTGTTTGACTAATTATCAGTCCATCTCAACACAAAAAGGAGAAAGATCAGAAATCCTTTTAAATGCTTCTTTTATTTCATTGGTTGTACATTGGGTGAGTGAACTGAATATTACAACCGAAACATAGAGTTGATACAAATTAGACTCCTGTTTACACTGTAAGGTAATGAATGAGGGAATTCTTTAAGTGTTACAGAAAGATTTAGTAGAAATGTTACCAGTGGTATGGCTGAAAGAATATTTCGGTGAAGTGCTCTTATATCCTGAAAACCAAGAGTGAAATGTAATTCCCATACGAGTGGCGAGTTCGTCTCTTAACTACAGTATTTGTTGAATTGCTATCGTCATGTCTTGGATATTGGTGATTTTATTTTTGTAATTAAACAAAGCATTTAAGATTATTCATCATAGTCAGACTTCTGAATATAAACAAACTTTTGGCAAATAATATTTATACAGAAAAATAGTTTTAGATCCTCTCAAATCCCAGAATTATTCTATAAAATTACATTATAAATAAATAAAAAGCAAAATCTGTTGTACATATATTTGTACATCTATGCATTTGCCTTGCCTCCTCCTTATTGTAAATGGCATATTTATGACTCTTTGCATATTATAATCACAATTCTGGAAAATGGATATCATAGTAAAAATACAGTCTTCTATATTCATTTGGGGATACAGGTGATGTTTTCGATGCTCCATTATTAAAGGGCTGAAAATAGCTGTGTGCTAATAATTTTAAAAAATCAAAATCATGAAACCAAAGAAAGACAATGTTACAACAATTAGTCTACAAAAATATTTCAGTGATTCCTGTACTTTACCTTTTAGTAATGGATACTATGTTTTCAGCGACTTTAAGTGAAATAACAAAGGAAAAAAAAAGAAATGAAAAACGAAACAAGTTTGAATGTTTCAGGCAAGTTGTAGCATAACTACATTGTTATAGTTGAGAAAATTACAAATATCGATAATACATAAAGATGAAACTACCAAAGAAATACAAGTTAGATACAATACTTTCCCACAAATTAAAACAAATGCAACGATACAAGCACTATGTAAGATGACACTTAGAATGTGATTTTCTTTTGATGGGGTTATCAAATCTACAATATAAAGATAGTCAGTAGACTTTGACCAACATTAATTAAAATGGCGAAATTCTTCTTGCTCAAAGGAAAATGATGTGGTTGGTGCATCCAGTTCTCAGAACAGGCGGTGATGCCAGAATTTAAAATATTTTACATTCAATCTCAAAAGTCAAAATACTTCAATCACTAATATGGTCACAAAGAAAATGGATGTTTTAAACAATTACACATAATATTCATTTATAACAGCTGTTTTGTTTTTTAAACAATAATTTAAAAACTATGTAGGTACTGTATAGGCTATGTGCAACATATAAAATGTGAAATATGAAATATTTGGTACGATAGTGCTTAAAATAAACTTTAAAACAAACTTTCTGAACAAAATTTAATTGTATCGCTATTACCTTGAAGATCAACCAAGTATTTAAAAAAGTAAACAACATTAAAATATGTTTCATCCATATATAGTATATATATGTATGTGTATATATAATATGTATGTACTTGTATTAAAGTTTTTTATACTTTTGAGACATAAAATATGCTTTAAGGTGAAAGAATTAAAAGAACTATTTTTTTCCATGCTGTAGTCAGTTACAACCCTTTAATCCAACTTTTGAAATGCAAAACAGTAATGGATTTTTTAAAAAGTGAAACTATCTACTTTTTTGTTTACATAGTAATTTAGATTAAAGTCACAGTCAAATTTTCAGTGACTAAACTCAAACTTACTTAAATTAGAATATTATACAGATCTCCTCACCTACAGCTTCGTTGTTTGACTAGGTGTTTAGTTTAGAAGTTATTCTGTAACAGGCAATCGGATGGTGAGTTTGAAAAACTAATCCCTTCGATTAGACTGTTGGCATGGGCCTCTCATTCTGGTCAAGCTGGATGAAGTCTGGCAAAATCTAGGCACTTCTACAAAGTCTCTCTTATAAAACAACTTTAAAAATATACTTGTAAAATAATACCTTCAAGACTTTGTTTGGTGGGGTATGAAGCTCATACCGTGCAAAGTTTCTTTTATTCAGTCTAGCTAATGTTATTCTAGAATCACATGATTCAAAGCGGCATCTCCAGGCAAACCAAATAACCACACTTAGATGTGTCCCCCGTACTTGTGCTTGAACTTCCATTCAAATTTTAGACCTGCGGGACAGGCGTCCATTTTACTTCACTTCCCACCTTTGCTGCAGCATTCATGTTGTGAAGAAGCGAAACATACTCTTTGATCCCGTGGGTAAATGAAATGACAGTAATTGGCGTTAGACTCAAACCTGCCCTCGGAATAGATTTTTTTTTTTTTTAACTAACGCTAATTGCTTATTGCTAACTTGGAAGTATTCTCAATTGAAATGAGTACATTGGTTGGACTTTCTGCATCAGCTATAGTTATGGAGATAAGACAATATTCCTAGGACAGAAACTATGTTTAGAAACCCTTGAAAAGTAAACTTTATTCTTTATGTCTTTAAATGTCACAGCTGGTCTCAGGTAGTTAACTATCTTAGGTTGGAATATACTAAGCATACCATATTTAATACTCATATATGATATAGCAGCACTAGCTTCTTACAGTTGTGGTCTGTCCAGAAGAACTAAATCTTTATTTAGCATGCAGTTTGTGGCAATTCTATTGAGGAGGAAACAGGATAGTATGTACAGTAACAATGTTTAGTTATTCTCAATGCGGATTCTTGGCATTCCATTCCATTTCTGCTGATTATTTCAGAATTATCTGTTAAAGAAAAAGACAAGCATGCTTTAGACATCCTGCTAGGAGGGAACGTAACGAGTTTAAGTCTTTTACTCTTTGAAAACAGGAATTTTCTCCAAGTTCTCATTTTGATATATTTTGATCTTTTGATGCGATCGTCATTTTGACGATCCCCACCCTCCAGGCTGAAAATGTTTATACTCTGGCGCTACTGCTACGTGGCCGCTGTGAACAGCGGTGAGGCAAATGCACAGAATTTTGTTTTCTGTAAAACTCTGATGGCGGATATGCGGGTGTGCAGTGTATTAGACCCTGATCTCCTTTACAGCCTTTGCTTCATGTCTCTTTTCTTGTATGTTCACATATTCATTCAATTAGTATTCGCTAAGGTGATCAGGGAGTCTAATCAGAGAATTCGTTTGTACATGAAAAGTTGTGGGAAAGGTTTAAACATAAAGATTCTTAAATGTACAACAAATTACGTATTATCTACGTATTTACGTGCATGTAAAATTCAGAGGTGTGTTCCCATCCAAAGTAATTTTGTTCCCAAGATAGGATAACCAGGAGAGAACGTATGAGTGTCCCAAATTAAAGAGAAAAAGGGACAATGTTCTAATAAAGCAGTTAAAGCATTCTTAATAAATCCAAAAGCACAGACAAAGCTAAACTATCAAATGCAAATTGTGGTCTCATTTCAGGAGTCTCATTTCCAAGTGCATTTCCAATTTCATACCTTTGCAAAAGGCAAGGAGTTTGCCCTGGGTGACCCAGTCCTCTAAAGGTCAAGGTTTTGAAAAGCCAAGCTTTTAACACGTGCTAACAAAACTATTTATTCTTTGTGCAACGCTTCAACCAAACTTTGTGCAATTAATGAAATATTTATTTATCAAACTACTAAGAGTCTTTGTCTAGGAAAAAGCCAGTAAAAATTCTTTACGGTCAAGCTAATATTCCTACACACTAGGATGCAAGTCCCGATTAAGGCCATATTTCTACAAGCATAATTTCTTATCCTATTATGTTAGAATTCACACATCGATATTTTTCCTTTTAGTGGGTGCTCCTGCAATTTACATAAAACAGCTTTAGTATATACTTAAACAGTACAAACTCAAATAATTCTTCCCAAGAAATAAGCCATATCCTTTAATTTACTGGAACATACAGATGTGTATGGAATTGATAAAAATAGAGGAAAAACTCATTTATATTCAATATTTATGCTAAATGGAAACTCAAAACTTCTCAGATACAATTGTCGTTTTTTTAAAGTTCCTAGGATTTAACATTAAATGGGAAAAATAGCATTCCTTGTCTTGTATACTTATATACAGATGTCCTTGCGCACTGATTCACAAATGAAAATGAGATGTAATGATTTTGTGTGTAAATATCATCACAGTATCTTTGAAGACCCCACTGAAAATTGCTAATAGCTAATTCTTCAGCTGGTTGTATTATAACTTCACTGTTGCATTTAGATATTTGATTATTAAATAGAAATTATTCTATTTCATCCCTCAGCGCCAACGCTGTCTGTAAGGTTTCAAAATAAAACTGTGTCCCAGGACATCAAATCATGTCCCTTTTCTCTTTCTTCTTTGACTTCAGCAAGTCTTTCTAAAATATTTATGGAAAAAAATTGCAATTTCTTGAATTGATATGTAAAAAACATAGATTTTAGAATAGATTTACATTCTTGCTTATTAAGTGACACTAAATTGCCATATAGAATGATATTCTTCACTGCCTGGAAAGCAAAGTATTCTACAGAAAGCCTAGCAAAGGGGAAATTTGTATCACAGAAATTAGTTACAGCAATGCTTTGGACTTACATTGGACAAAGAGACATGTACAACCACTCAGGTTTAATGGAATTGTAAATTAACCTTGAAGTTAACTCAGAGTGTTAACTGGACTCACCCAGCTTGTCTGGACCCTCTGCCTCAGTTTACACAGGATTCATTATATGGATGAAGACATAAGCACAAATGGCTGATGCTATTATCAAACTGTCAGCTGTTACTGCCACCTGGCCTCTGGGCCAGGAAACCCTGGCTATACCCTGGTCTATGTCTTTGGCTAACTTGTGGACTATCATATGTGGTATAAAAAAATGAATTTCTCTCCTAGCAGCCACGTGCTTCAAGAGGTCCAAGAGATTTGATTTTAGGAGGTAAGAAAGCGTTGAGTGTTTCGTGTTTTGGATGATAGCATTTTTCTTGAAAATAGAATTTGATTATTACTTCCCCCTCCCCCCTGAGAAATACAGCTTGCAGGTACAATCCGAATTAAGTGTCCTCTGGGGTGAAATACGGTCTGGAGATGCAGTCAGGAGCTCAGATGAGGAACAGCTACCACCCGAGTGCCTCTGATACAGCTACTGCCCATGTGATTGCTGCTTCTGATGTTGTAAGATGTGAGACATGACAGGACTTTGGGCCCACGGAGGGGACAGAACAATCCCCAGCTGGAGGGATGCCCCTGGAGGGAAGAAAAGAGCTAAATGTGTGTTGTGCGGGCAGGGGGTGTGGAGGGAAGGGTGTAGGGAAGCCATTTTGAGGTAAAGAGGGCTCTTCTGTCTAGTTTTAAATATGGTTTTTCTTTAGTCAGATTATATTTTTGATTTGCAGCAAAGAAACAAAATTTTAAAATACAGACGAATAGGTACATTTTGTGTGCTTCCCTGCGGCCTCTCCTCAGAGATTTTGTTTCATACCAATTCTATGTGGACATATACAATTATGTTCTACACATAAAGACTTCTTCAGTCTCCATTGTGATTTTAATGGCCAGCAGGATCAAAACCTTCCGTGGGGGTCTGAATATTTCAATATAGGTACAAAATGTGCATTCTTAAAAGAACAGGCTGACACGTGGCCCTGGAACATGGGCTATGAGTCTGATATTGACAAATCGTAATCCTGAGCCTGTCCATTTTAAAGAACGATTAATTGTCACAGTTCACCAAAGTGACCTGGATAGACTGGCCGTCAGCAGCACCCTTCTTGTCCTGTACTTGCCCAAACTGAGACCGACCTCCAAAGTCCCTTCCTCAACCTCCAGGCACAGCAGCCTGTGTTTTCTTGGAAGGGGCAATGGAAAATTCCCCTGGGTCTGCCAGAATATGCGCACGCCAGAGAGCTGCTCGCCATGCTGGGACCCCCAGGAATCTCCTCTCGGAAGCATCATTGTTGTTTTGTTTTAATTTGAATAGATGCCTTCTTGATTTTCCTGGAGGCTCTGAGCGATTTTTACCAGAGCCCTAAGAGCTAGGTCAGTATTGCCAGTCATATTTTGCAGACACGGGAAAAGCAGCACAAATGGTTCTAACTGGTTTGCACGACATACAAAGTGCTCGTGCAAGTCGGCATGAGTTAGAGTTGTTAGCGCATTCTGTCTGCTGGCTCAGGAGTCTCCCCCAGGGCGTAGTGACAGTCTGTGATGACCAGGGGAAACAGTGATTCCAAAGGGCATGTCTATACCTTTCACGGGGCCAGTGGAGATCAGTGCTCAGAAGAAGCCCCGTGGGAGCCTGGGAACAAGGGAAAGGTGGGGCCATGGGCCAGGGTCTAGGGCCAACAGCGTGGACCACTGTGCGGGAGGCAGAGACTGTCTGCGGGAGCCACATGGGGAGAAATTGCTGAGGGATGCTGGGGCTGCTTGGTCCCTGCCGAGGGACGGGGCGGGGGTCAACCACATCCTTCTGCGGGCTCCTCCCGATGGACGCTGCACACGTGTCTGCTCACAGCAGTGGAAGCCCCTCCCCCCAGTCACAGGTCCACTGCTTCAGCCTCAGGGGTCCCCGTTTCGGTATGTGATGGGAAAGAAATCAAATACACTAAACAGGATGTACTTCTGTTCATCTCTCTGATAGACCAGTCTCTCAAATTTAAGTCTTTTCTCAGAGAAGGAGAGCCTTCTATGATGAAGAAGGGGTTAAAATAAGATTTTAGCCAATCTTGTAGAGTAAATCAACAGTTTGAAGTTTTGAAAGTATTATTTTTAATTCCTTTTTCCACTAAAGGAGAACACACCAAAAGACACACTTGCTCTCAACTTATGAGCTCATGGTTAACTCTTCCGTGAACTCTCTAGTTGTAACAAGAGAACCTGTGATGCAAAATATATTACTTGTCTGCGTGGAGTCTACTTTTTTTTTTGAGTCTACTTATTAATTAGCATTTCCCTCAGGTGGTCAGAGTTAAGAATCTGATGGTTCTGCTTAATCCATATCGTTAAATTATTCCCATATGAACCCAGTATATAATTAGTCTAATACATATTTGTTGAAGACAAAGCATGAATGCCCCCAAAGAATATCAAATGGGTTGTTTTCCCATCAAATGTGTTACGAGCAGCCATTTAATAATCTCTGTATCTTCCGTGAAGTGCCTATACCATTTGCTTCATAGTGCAACAGCAGTCAAATTTGTTAAGAAGAAGACTGGGTCCCTGCATATTAAGTTTACTGACTGCGGGGCCCAGGCAGGAAAGGCACCTAAGTGAGTGGGTCAGGTAGGGAGTGTGGCAGATGGAAGGGCCCGTGCCAAGAAGGAATGGAGGAGCAGCTAGTCAGCTCTAGCCAATCGCTACCTGCAGAAGCCTGGGCTCCACATTGCTTGACCTTTCCATTTCCCAAAAGAAGCTGGAAATTCAGCAACTACTGGACATTTTAGGAAACAACTCTGTGGGTCAAATATATCTGGGCTGAATGCTGGTTTGCGCCTTACTTCCTGGGAGGAAATATCCATTAAGTTTGGATTGCTAGCTTCCTGAGCCAGGGGCAGTCAATGCTGTAGGGAACACTGGGGAGTCAATCCTGCAACTTTCAGACATTTACATTTGGCTTTCACCCAAAGGAATAGGGCACTTGACCAACAGGACCCTCTAAGAAAAAAGTACTGTCCCTCCCTTTACTGATTTTACCAGATATTAAATATCCACATTGCCTTCTCCCTTCCAAGATGATGTTGGAGTCTGGCTGAGCCATCCATATGCTCTTACCTTTGGCAGAC